AAATTAGTTTGCAGCAAAATAAAAAAAAATATGCTTTTCCGTGTGTGAGCACAGATTACTCCTTTTTATTTTATTATTTATTTTTAAATTTCATTTTCTGGCACTCTATTTGTGCACTTAAATCTGGAAATAATAAAATAACCATGTTTCAGAAAAAAATTAAAAACTACTGTGCTTTAAATCAAAACAACCTTTATTAATGAATAAATAGACAATAATGTTATGAATATCAAACCAGTATGAGTAAAAAATAGTAATAAAGATTACTATGTTACAAAGCAACAGTGTAATTTCAGTGCAAAAATTTCAAATAAGAAATATATAAAGGTGTAGAGTCTTCAAGTAGTATATTATTGAACATTAAAAAAACTAATATCAGCATAATTAAATAACTAATACAGTCTGAAAACTATGATCATAGGACTCTATCAGTTAATCGGATAAAATTTAGCAATATTGTATTAAATTGGGCTGTAATTTGTTTTTGCTAACTCAATTAACACAAAACTGAGTTTGTGACTTTCTTTTGACCAGTAGATCTAAAACACGTGCAAAGGGCCATTCGAAAAATAAAAAGAAAGGCGTTAAAATCCAATAAACACCACACCCGTAGGCTGAAAAATAAGTGACTTTTAAGTCATACAGTTCGAATTTAGTGATGGAGAAACGAAATTAAAAAGCAGAAAGTCCAAAACTCCCCCAAGGAGCCCATGATCCCGATGTACGAAAAAATCTGCTCTGCTCTTTACCACTGAACTATGATCGCTCGTGTATGAGGAGTCGAAAAAGCTATGTACTTCGTCACCTGATTAACTCCCATTTTCGGCGAAGTCAATTAGTCTTTGCGCTGCTTTATTTTCGACTGGAGATTTTGCTTTCTGAATTTTTTTAATAATAAGTTTCTGAATATTTTCATCTAGTACCCATGATATGGAATCATCAATAGTTTTTGGAACTTGGGAGAGTTAAAATAATTTTCTCCCCTAATAGAAAATATTTGAATATATAAAGTAATGGAGAAGACAAATCTTACCAAAATAAGAGAATTCCTTACTTTTTTATTTTTAAAATTTACATTACTCGTATCCCACAACACAACATTCTCTCTATAGGAATCTATTAGTTCAAAAATTTTAGTTTCGCTCCAATGAATTGCAGCCATGTTTATTATTCCAAATGAGGAGAAAAGCACTTGATAACTCAAAGCAATCTTATTGGCTAGAGACACCGATTTTATCGTACGCTGGTGAGCAGTGAACACCAGTTCTGAAATCGCGGCAGAGAACATGACCGATTTGTGGCGCATGCGCAGATCCTTAAATTGTTGCTCTACGAGAAAGTCGGCCGAGAAAATCGCTCCGTGTAGACATGCCTTTAGACCCTATATTCCTATACGAAAAATGCGTGTTTTAGTTCGCTCTACCACCCCTCCGAGTTTGTCCCATGATCTATGAAATACCCTGTATAGTTAAATTTTTACGTCTTTGTAGCATATGTTCCAAGACAGTAGTGCTGTACAAGCAAACGCAACTTAATATTTGTTTAATTTAAAATCATTTGTTGTTGTAAAAACATTATCAATATAGAAATCAGTTAGCATAAACAACAGATATTCTGAAATTTCTTTTCACGAACTCATAATAGCGCCCTCGTTTTGAAATGCAACAGAAACACCAATGGAAGCTGGATACAACTCAACTCAACAGTATGTTAAATATGTAGTTAACCATCGGGAACGTGTTTATGATGTAAATCTTAATTATATGGACTTGATTATTAAAAGTGTACCTTAATTCTAACTAAAATTAAAAATGAGAGTTGAACGGTGTTATTTTTGTTCATCTCCGTTATATCCTGGTCACGGTATACAATTTATACGAAATGACTGTAAAGTAAGTACTCAGTATGAAATTTTTTTCGCAGTGATTTTAAATTTTCTAGCAACGCTGTATTTAATTTCTTTTTCAGATAATGAATATTATTACCAATATGATATTGCTTCAGAAACTATGTATAGGTAATATTTTGATGTATAGTATTTGACAATTCTTATTGTATCGGAATATTTAAATAGATCTGTGTTATTTATTAATCCAAATTTACCCTAGTTTTCCTTAAAATTTTTACAGGAGAAAAGTTCTTTGTGATGAAAAAAGTTTGGGAAATACAATTTTTTTTAACATGGCTACTTCATCAAAGCACATTAATAAACTTTATTTAATTCTAAAGAACTCTGATTGAAGAAAGTAGTGAAAATGTTGATGTAGAAAATGCATATATTTAATACATTTAAACTGCTTTTCAATTCTTGATTACATATGAAATCATCATGATTAGAGAAGTTAAAAGCAGCATTCATCTTGACTTTAACCTTCCAGCACGCGCGCATCGTATTTTTTACATCGGTAAAAGTTTGCAATTGGGTGCCCCTTGTTTTTTGTCGATTCATTTTTGACGCCAAGATCCGCGGCAGGGAGGCACAATTTCAGGATGGCCGCTACACAAAACCAAATTAAGAACTCGAAGAATTGCACAAACTCGATGACCATGTACACATCAATCTATTTTCACTTAAAAAAATATCAGAGAATTGCACAAACTAGGCAGTGCATACTGCCTTAACTTTGTCCATGTACATGTTGATCTAATTTTATTAAAAACATCAGGAAGCTAAAACAAAGTTAAAACTATCATGGTAACCAGAAATGATGTTTCATCACCGAAATTTTAAAAAGAATTTTCGCTAATTAAAGAGGCACCCAATTCTACACTAGAGCCCTATCGGTATACCGTTTTTGGCAGGAAAATTGGCAGAAATGAGTGGCTATTGATAATAAATTTGTTAAAACATTAAATATTAACTTTATTATTGCAAAATCTAAATAATGTCGCATTCAAATGATAGCAAATTATTTTTAAACACTTATATTAGTCAGTGGAAAAGCAATGATGTATTTTATTATAGAAATTTTAAATTTATTATTTAACAACTATATTTTAAAATCCAAGCTAGTTTTAATATTTGTCTCTCCTGTCCTGTTGATTATATGGTTAATCTACGGATTATGATAATTTGGCGACCAACCCTGCTACAGCAACCTGCTAGTTTTTTTTTTTTTTTTTTTTACTCAACTTTTTTTTTTCCCCAACAATCTGTTAGCTGAATTATGCTTATGCTAGAACTTTTATGGAATTAAAGTGCTTAATCATGATGAAGATTAGGTGTGAAATTGGGAGAAAGTGCAGAATCATCCGTTGCTTGCCGCGTTTTTAAGAATTGCACATACATGGTATCCATGTACACGTCGACCTATTTTCACTTAAAAAAACATCCCAGAATTGCACAAAAATGGCATTGTGCCCACTCTTGACTTTATCCATGTACACTGCTTAAGTCCTAGCTAGTAAATTTTATCGCCTTACCAAAATGTCGCCAAACTACCAGTTACCATATTCCAAAGATTAGCCGATTATCATTGAATTGAAGACAACTTGTCAAAAATAAAAATCTCTTGTAGCTCATCACAGCTCTTGTTATTTCAATTCCAGTGCCATCACTTGAGAACAATTCTTTTGCATTTACATCACGTCCATTTTTTATTTGTATGATATATAACAGTTAAAAATAGGCCATAATTTCCACTCAGGTAACAGTGCAGGGGTAGAGTAGACTTTAAGGTACCCCTTGTATTATGGCGAAGTTGTTGTTTCATTTATGGTAGCCTGAGTAGTTGAATGTTAATGGAAACCCTATTGTGACTTAATCGGGTGCATGATTCTGGGAAATTTTTAATCATGGGATGTTTTGTAAGCGTTTTTGTGGTGTGTGTTGGTTTGATTCTTTAGATGGTAGAAGTAGTAAGATTAATTTGAAGTTTCTGTACGATGTGGAATGAAAGGGGAAAAGAGCTTTATTTGACTGGTGTGTAAATGAAGGTTTACTTAGTAGCCATTATAAGTGTCCTGTATGTAGGAAGGATATGCGTATAGTCGAATGTAAACACCGTTTAGATGGATTTGAATAAGTTTGTAGGAAGAAAGGTTCAGATGGTCACTATGTGAAGCGTTCGATCAGAAAGAGTACCTGGTTTGAATATTATGAATAAGTATGAATTAGTATTTTGATTTTTACGTGGCTCTGGGTGTACGAAGTGAACTCAAAAATCTTGGTAAGTGAATATTTACTTTTGGTAGTGCTTAAATTATAACATGTTTTTCCTTTTTTATGTTTTTTATTGTTTGGTTTAAAATGTATTTTATTGAGATTATGTATTTTTTGTTTGCCTATGTTGTAGAATTTGGTGCTCCTTTGACTTTTTAGGTGAAAATATATCGATGTGTACATGGACAAAGTAAAGTGAGTGCGCGATGCAAGTTTGTGCAATTCTGTGATTTTTTTATGTGAAAATAGGTCAACGTGTACAAGGATAAAGTTAAAGTGCGCAATGCCATTATTGTGCAATTCTGGGATTTTTTTTAAGTGAAAATAGGTCAACGTGTGCATGGATACCGAGTTTGTGCAATTGTTTGTCTTGTTATTTTGGCTTTGTGTAACGGCGATTTATGGCTCAAAAATTGCCGCTACACAAAGAATATATATAGAGAGAAATATACATCTGTATAGATCATTTGTATAAAAAATTTACACCTTGTGACCATGCTTTCAATTAGGTGGTCAGCCACCGCAGAATTAAGCAATCGCCATTCTTCTTGTAGAGCAGTTTCTAGCTCAATAAGAGGGGCTGGAGGTAGGAAACGTGGAGATACAGCACGGTCGAGAGCATCCCAAAGATTTTCAATGGGCTTAAGGTCGGGCGAATATGCTGGCCACGCCATACGCGTAATCCCTTCACTCTCCATGTAGTCATCGACGATGTTAGCTCTATGGGGACGTGCATTATCGTCCACTAAAACAAAAGTAGGCCCAACTGCTGCAGCGTACAATCTCACAATGGGTTCTAGGACTTCATCTCGATACTGGACAGCCGTCAAAGAACCCAGTTTAAAGATGTGCAGCTCGGTGCGATATTCTAATGAAATCCCTGCCCACACCATAATGCTTCTGCCTCGGAATGCGTGAATTTTTGAGACTGATTGTGTATTCGTTGTTCACGCCATATCCTTATACGCTTGTCATCTGGCTCCAGAGCAAATCTTGACTCATTAGTAAACATGACATTGACCCAGTCAGACACATTCCAATTGACATGTTCCCGGCACCACTGTAATCATGCCCCTCTTGATTGGACAGATAGAGGAACACAAACTTGATGTACAGTCCACTCATATGTAATCTTCGGCATACCGTAGCTGCAGATATCACCTTACCAATGGACGCAGTAACCGTAGATGTCACACGTGTGGAGGTCACTCTGCGATTCCGCTTGGCTATAATAGCAATATATCAATCTTTCGCGGGTGGTTGTAACCTTTGGGCGACCACCTATGGGTCGCCCAAAGGTTACACCCCCCCCCCCCCCCCCGCGCGTTTTATTTTATATTTAGCGTTATATCATTTTTATTCTATACATTTAGCAATACAGTAAAAATTGTTAAACACGAAACTGAGAGGACTGAAATATTTTTTTGCTTAAAGGATATTAAAGAAAAATCAACAAAATTAAGTTTATTAAAGTACATTTGTTTACATAGATAATATGTATTTAATAAAAATCAATGAAACAAAAACATCCACAAGAACGTATTGAAAATGAATGCAAAATTTTGAAAAATGAAACATTTATTGAGTTTTTTAAAAATAATCTGATGTTCTTCGGACAACTATCTGTGTGGTTTGGAATTGTTTCCATAAACGTGAAATTACAGAATGACGAACGCTGAAGAAAAGGTCAACATCTGTGATCGATTGTCCTGCTTCAATGCGTCCCACAGCATGCCAGCGCTCAGAATCTTCCATCCGTCTTCTGGAAGTCATAAAAACACGTATGTCTTGAAAACAAATTGTACGAAAGTTTTGAACACCTTCTATCAGCACTTACAGTCAACTTCTGTAACCCTTCATAAAGCTGGCTTCTTATAAACTTCCTTTTTTGCATATTTCTTAACATGAAAGTGCGATTGGCTGTTACCTAACATATTTGCATACTATCATATACCTCTGCAGCGAATTGCTTCCTCTTCAATTCTGATTCCTGAAATTAGCATTTTTCTCTCTGTGCTTAACTTTTGGAAGTGAGTGTAAATGAGGTCAGAACTGAAAGTTTTTTTTTTTTTTTTTTTTTTAGTCATTAAGATAAAAACATTTCATTGGTAGCCTACCAACGAAAAATTCATAGTGATTGTGGCCGTTTACTTGCATGTAGAATATGGCCCATTTTGAAATTTTGCTTACATATGCTGTCCCAGAAGAAAAGAAAGAAAATTCGAGATAAATCATATTTAAAGTTTAACTGAGCAATGCATTGCATAAAGATGACTACAAATATATTTCTAAAATTTAAAATTTCAAAAAAAATTATTGAAATTTTTTAGATCACATCTTAAAAAATGTGATCGTAGGCAAAAATGCCTGTGTCTCAAGTTTGTTATTCAATCTTTTTGTTTTGTAAGCTAATGTATTTTTTAAATAAAGAAGTTTATTTTAAATATGAACTAATGTGTTATATTCATGTTAAAAATTAATTACTGAAGTTTTTTCTTTAGCAAATCAATAACAGAAAATAATTTGTCTTCATGTCAAGTCTACATGTAGATATAGATAAACTAGTCAAACTAAGTTTGACTACTTTGAATATGTTCTGCCCCTTTAGGCAGATTTACAAACTAATTGGGTAAAATAATCTCAAGGTAACGCAGCCTTGACATGAAGTGGAAGACAAATTTTTATTGATTTGGTAAATTTATATCTAAAAATTTTCAAATTATTATTTTTTTTTGGTATATTTTAAATTGTAGAAATATATTTAAACATTTTTATGCAATGCATTGCTCAAATTAAACTTTAAATATTAAATTATCTTGGATTTTTTTTTCTTCTGGGACAGCATATGTAAGCAAAATTTTGAAAATGGGCCATATAAGATAAAATTCTATAATCATTTTTATTTCTATACATTTAGCAATTCAGTGAAAATCGTTATACACGAAACTAAGGGGACTGAAATATTTTTTTGCTTAAAGGATATTAAAAAAAATCAACAAAATTAAGTTTATTAAAGTACATTTGTTTACATAGATAATATGTATTTAATAAAAATCAATGAAACAAAAACATCCAAAAGAACATATTGAAAATGAATGCAAAATTTTGGAGTTTTTTGAAAAACTAAACATTTATTGAATTTTTTGTAAATAATCTGATGTTTTTCTTTGCATTGTCTTTCTTAGTATCAAATTGTTCAGTGTCGTCCAACTTGTTATTCACTTCACCATTGGAATTTGCATTTAAATAACTGTGCATACTTTTCATGATGTTCCTCATTTTGGATAACGTAGGAACAGGAGCTGGATTATTAATTTCATTTTCGTTGTCAGAATTTGCAGTAATAATATTTTTTTAGCTTTGAACAAGCTCCAAAATGTCTGTCTGTCATAATTAGGACTGTACACACATTATCATCAACTACTGCAAGGAATTCTTTTGATAATATAGTAGGACAGTCCAGTAATACAAAAACTTTCTCAAACATTTCATTAAGTGTTGGCTCAGTTTCAATATCCTCCTCCTCCATTTCTTTTGGTGCCAAAGAATCTGATACTTTTGAGAATCATGCATGATAAAAATGATTTTCATTCGTCCTTGCAGTCACTGAATTCCATGCAGAGTGCAACATATGAACCAAACTCGCAGATTTTTTACTCGCACTGCGATGTACTCATTACCAAATTCCAAAGCCAACTGATGAGATGTTTGTAGGGGTGGAGGGTGAAAATAGCTTAGATAAACAAAACTGGCTCGTGTCACAGACTATTCTGAGGGTATTTCAAAACCAAGTTACCCTCCTTTCTACGAAACATGTGAAACCATCTCTCTTTCATTTCATACCCCTCTTAAATCTCGCCTGTGAGGCCGGTGTTTTCCGTATTTTGTTCATTCCTAGAGAGAATATCTTTTTGTGTTAAGCGATTTTTAAGATATGTTAAGATAAAAAAAATGCATGAAAATATATGATAGTTTGTCGGGACCATTGCATTATTTCGTGTTAACCGATATTTCATCTTAAGCGTTTTCGCGTTAAACGTATTGCATTTATTAAATTTAAACTTAGTCTTGAAATGTGTGCATGCTTTAAACATATGCTTCATCTAAAAAGTGCTAAATATATAACATCATAATATTTAAGAATCTTAATTTATTTTCTCAGGTATTATTAATGCATATATACTAGCATTTATGTATTGAATAAAACTGCCAGCATTGTCAATGAAAAAATTGTATGTTTGTTTTTATAATACTGCAAATCTTCAAAATGACTATGTATGCTTGGGCAATTTCTTTTGAGTAATACAGCCATGCATTATCACTAGGTATTTCGATTTTGCCGTTCTAAATGCCGTAAAATGTTCAACCGTAAGAAAAATCCCAGGAAATTAAAATGGACAAAGGCATTCCGAAAAGCTGCTGGGAAAGAACTTATTAATGACCCAGCATTTGAATTTGAAAAGAGGCGTAATGTACCTGTACAATATAATCGAGAATTATGGCGAGAAACAAGTAAGTAGTAATAAATGGTTATTTTTTTTTTTTTTTTTTATAATAGTCATATAATGTGTCAAGTGAAACATTATAATTCGTAGCCTGAATTTTGAACAAAATTAAAACAACTAACGTGGAACTGTGATTTTTCCATCAGTGATAAATGGCTACTTACATGTTAATGAAACTGCCTGTGCTCAGTTTGGCAGTTTTTTGCAGACGGAAATTTAAAAGTTATTTATCAGATGGGTAGTTTACATGAATTTTATTACAAAGATTCTCAAACCATCAATATTTAGCATAAGTTGGCAGGCATTATCAACATTTAAAAAGAAAACATACATTGGCAATTTAAAATGCAAATTTTAATTATTAAATAAGGTTTACAAAATATATTTAAAAAAACTTTGCTTTCTTTACCAAATCATTCTGTAATTTTTTTGTGCTGTTCTTCCCAAGCATGCATCGATCTATTTTCACTTAAAAAAACATAAAAAATCTGCAGATTTGGCATGTTGCAAACCATGGCAATAACGACTATCTACAAAACATGTCCCCTCATTTCCTTTGGATATTTTTCAGCAAAACTCTCCATTCCTACAGGAATTTTACTACAGTTTCTTTCATTGATGGTAAATTCCACCCGATGTATATTTTTAAATTAAGTTTTAATGAAAAAATGCCATGATTTGTTTATAAAAAGCATTGAAAATCAAAATACAACAAAAAGTATACATACAGAAATGGTGATGTTGCTCGACTGAAGGATTGTTATAAGCATGGTTGCCAGTGTTTAACACGTTCTAAAAATTTGGAAACTGCTACTAAGTTGGTTCTGATAACATTTAAGTTCCAGTAAATGTTTCCAAAATTACAAAGCATATTTATTCATTTATTGTTCTTGAGACAGCAATGCAGTAGTTATGTCCGTATGGTAAAGAAGGAACCTAGTTAAATTACTAGCTGTTACCAATTATTTTCCATTTCTCCCCCTCTTTGTCAATTGTAACAAATTTATCTTCTTGGAATCTAGTTTAATTATCTAATGACTTCAAAAATTATTATTTTTTTTATTATCTGCACTCTCTACAAAAAGGCATTTATGAGACTAAGCAATACAGTATGCAATGCTTAACCTTTAACTGATGTGACAATTTTTTTTTGGCATAATTACTGTGAACAGTCTCGCAAACCACTTTTAAGAAATGCATAAAAATGTATACTTTTGTGCATTTTAAAGAATGTTTTAGATACTTTATGCATATTTATGGAATTCTAAATCATTTAAATTAGTGTATATTTAACATAAATCATTTAATTTTATGCAGTTTAATTTGTATAAAAAAGACTATTTTCTTCATTTTAAGGAACAAAGCTTTAAAAGAACAAACATTTTGTTAAACATGCATGAAAATATGTGACTTTATTAAGTATTACTGTCAATTAAACCATAATTCTACTGCAATGAATTTAATTATAAATTATTAATAGATTAGTATACCTTTGTTTACAAGGATGACATAAGATGCCTAAGAAAATTAGTTGAAATATTTTTTGAGAGCACTGAAGACACATCAGGTTCCTTGCATTCTAAGCATTTGTATGCTATTTGTCTCTTCTTACAAGGTGGGCACAGACTACATGTTTTTCTTTTTTCTTCTTAATATGATAAATTCCATTCTCTCAATTTCATTTTGTCCAAGGTTTATTATAATTGTTATCTTCAGTTCCCTTGGCAAAAAGCGGAAGTTATCCTAACTTTAAGGTATGGCTTAATAAGTTGATTTGCTAATAAAAGTTCCCCCCCCCCAGTTTTGTAGCATCAGAATAGGACTGGAACAATATGAATGAATTCACAGCACACATATCCAGTATTCTTAAAAATATTGCCACAGGCCAATGTTGAGCTTCTCAACCACTTGAGTAAATAGAACACTTCTTTTCAAATTCATCAATGGCTCCTTTTGTCAAATTGTATAACTATAATTTCTGGTGTCCCAGTATTACCGTATGGTGCATTGATTTTTCCTTGGGAACGTAGGAAACAAGCGTAATTTCATTTGTAAATCCATACAAAGAACTAGATATTTCTCTTGCCTTATTCGCCTGAAATTCTTTTGAGATCTTCTTTTTATGCTTTTCTCAATATACCTATAAATGTAAGACCTCTGTCTTTTAGGCAATTCACTAATTCCATTCAGGAAAACCAGTCGTCTGCAGTAATGTTCCTATTTGTATGTTTCAAAGGTTCAACCAGTCGGAGCACCACTTGTGTGAGTTTACTACATTATTTTTCTTCTTTTGTAAGCCCATCTCCATCAGAATCTTTTCCACAGTAGATATATGCATTATAAAGATAATTGTTGCTTGCATCACAAAGGCACATAATCTGTAATCTATATTGTGTTGGTTTTTTGGGCATGTACATTTTATATTTGCTGCATCCTCTGAATTTCACTAGCATCTCATCAACACATGCTAATTCTCCAATAGAATATATGCATTGGAAATTTCTTGTGACTGCATAAAGTATTTTCGATATTAGAGTTGCTTTGTCGGTTTCCATATGCTCATTTCTTGTTTTAGAGTCATCAAACTGCAAGCAATTCAAGAAAAATAAAAATCTCACTTTGGAAGTAACACATCTAAATACCTCCCGTCCTGTACCATCAGTAGCAAATTAAGATCAATATCATGATTTGATTTGAATACGGTAGAATAAATTGAAAGTCCAAGGAAGGCTTTCATTTCTAATGCATTAGTATCCATCAATTCATACCTGTTTAGATCAAAATATTTCATTCTGCATTATCAAAATTACTATGTCTGGGATATATTACAATACTTATGAAATATTTTGCTGCTGAACTCTCCTTTTGGGGTATTGGATGTTATTGGGTTGTCCAGAAAGTTTTGTGGTTTTTGCAGTTGAAGTATGTTTCCAGAATTATTTTGTTACTGCTGCTAAGGAGTTATCTTGATCAAAGCAGAAGGGTAAATACAATGTTCTCTTCTTACATTGCATAATTCTAGCTTGTTTTTGACATAATTTTATAATTTTTGTTTCAGTACAGTGCTAAGAATGAAAAACTCAGAAGTTTATTTTCATCATTTATTTTAAAAAAGTAAAAAATGCTAGTCCAGATGCTCATAAAATTTGTGCTGTATGTGGGCAAATTCCTGTTTCTGTCAGTTAGATGGTTTGAAAAGTTTAAATATGGAAATTTAATTCTCAGAGATATTCCTGTTCTGGATGACCCTCTTTTAAGAGATGCTTGACATGACCTATTAAAAGAAACTATATGTTATACAGTTTAGGAACTATCAGACAGACTAAATCTATGTTATACAGTTCAGAACTATCAGACAGACTTGTAAATATTTCAGAATTTACATACATGATCAGGCCTCACCAGTGACCAAATGGTAAAGTCGTTGAAAACTGGTAGTTCCAACTTGGGTTCGATTCCAGGCACATGGGTAGGCTGCATAGGTGTTTCCATTTTTTTGCCATGTGCAACGTGTATAAGGGACATTTTCCATTCAAAAGCCCTCCATGAATGCATTGCTTCTCTTAGTAGATGGCTCTCACTTGCTTTGTCATAATTAAACAAATTCATGCTTGATCATTTGTAGAAGATTGAATATGTAAGTTGCTACACTGTAAGTGTATCCTATACTTTAACAAAGCACAATATGCTTGCTTGAGTTTCAGCATGGGATGTTTTTCCTCCTTTGAAGCAGCATATTACTGATGATAAGAAGTGATTACTATACAATAATGTTACGATCATGGAGTTTTAGTAATACTGTGAGATAGAGGCTGCATCGCCAAAAAAGTAATGGTTTGTATATGGTGGGACTGTAAAGAAATTGGGTACTATAAATGGTTTTCAACAAAACAGACGATAAATTAAAAAAAAATACTGTTCCCAAATGGCAGTTCTAAAAGCAGAGGTCATAGCAAAGTGCCCAATCATCGAGGTGGTGTCTTCCATAAGCTCTACATTTTGATGAATGTCAGATAAAGGCTTATTGAGTATGGCTAGGATGTTTTGTGTTCCCCTTCCGCATGTGCACAAGATCAGGGGTTCGCAGTGAGGTCGGTATAGACATTGGTTCATGATGACCAAGGGATCAATAGTATCATGTATCAGCATCGTAAAAATCTCTATTTAATATACTTTTAAGCAATAAAGTGCTGAATTTTGAAATTAATAATTCATGAACACACACACAAAAAAAAAAAATAATGTAAAAAAAAGAAGAAGAATGCAAAACACCATAACAAAAGCTTGCACTTATTCTTTCATCCATGCTGATCGTTGAAATTTGTTAACAACGGTTATGCTCAAATAGCTCAGTTATGGCTTCTGAATGGCCTGGATGTCATTTCTTTGGAGACTATCTCACAGCATTTCAATTGTGTCATTACAATTAAACATGATGACTTTAAGAAAAAGGATTTTCCAGAAAGATGGCAAAAAGTCGTTGAACAAAATGGTGCTTATGCGATTCAGTGAAATTTAATTATGTTTTTGAACTGCTGTATTGTATTTTGTTTGTATTTATCATCAGAAAACTATGGAACTTTCTGAGTAACTCAATATTAGAATGATTTTCTGTTTGGGAAATATGAGGATTCAACTTATAATATGTGCTAAACAGATCATAATCCAGTGATATTTTATTTTCTGAACAAAAACATTTATGGATTTTTTAAAAGATTAATACAGATTTCAAATCTTATATTAGATGCTTAGAAATGGCCAGATTATATCCTTTGTTGCATAAAATAAGTTATATTGGGGAGAATATGAAATTGTTTTTATACAATTTTTTTTATTATTTTCAGTGAAAACAATGAAACATGTTAGCCAGATTAAAGAAAGAAGAGAAGCTTGTTTCATCAAACAAAGGTAAATAAATGTTCTTCATGTGTATTTTGAATAGTTCCTATAGTTTCTTTTCTAAAAAGTTATAATTTCTACATATTTTGTATTATATGGATGCATATTTTGTTGTATTTCAATATAATTTCCCTCTAAAAATTGAATGATCTCTTGAATGGGGATTAGCTTTTTGCATAGCTTCTCTCTCCATATTGTAAGTTTGGAATTATTGCTTCAGTACAGCTTCTTTGCACTTTTTCATGTGTCAAAGGAACATTTTAATGTAGAAAAACTAAAATATAGCACTGAAATTAAATTTCTTATTATTAATTTTATAAGAATCACGAGAAAATTCAAATTTCTTAGACCTACTGCAAGTAGTTAAACAGCATAGTCAGATTAGTCCTTCCTTATGCAGAGCTGATGGAACATGAGCTCTGCATAAGGCACCCTTTTATGTCAAAACCCCGCTTTACTTCCATGCATCGAGTTTCAAGAGATTAATTATGTTTCATTGAATATTACATGAAACATAATTAATTTTCTAATGTTAGGTAAAATTAATAACCTAATCCTTCTAATTTATTGACAGCATACCACAGGCTGATGTATATTTTTCTAAGCAAACCTATATAATTATTTCAGGTTGAAAAAGGGAAAGGTGCTAGCTAAAGAAGAAGATCTAAAAGAAGTACAAAGAGATATGTCTCTTATCAGATCTGTTTGCGGTAAGCTATCTTTTATTTCAAATTGTGTTTTATTGGTTGAAAAATCCTCAATGATTATCTTCTTGAATTGTATTTATATGTATATTTCTCTATTTAATCCACAGCACCAACACAGTTGAAGATAAAACAAGAAGAAACAAACAGAGTTGTAGCAAGAGAAGATCAAGTAGAAAAACCTATGGAACAGGAAGTGGCCTAACTCTTGCTGTTTCCTACAGCAGTTTCATCAGTTTTTATAATTCATCCACATGGTATCTAAAAATAAAAAGCATCTTTTTTCAAAATATTTAATGAAATTTTTATCATTTAATATATAAAAAAGTGTAATTACGCAGTGTACATGTTCAGTTTCCTGAAACTGTCTCTAGGTAAACAGTTATAACACTATAACAATGATATGCATTGGATGTTGTATGCTATAAAAAATAAAACTGTTTTAAACTGTGACCATTTATGCACAGACATGCATGAAATATAATTAATGCTGCATTGTGTTGTAACTTTATGCATTAGGACAGTGTGGTCCAACCTTTAGTTACCTGAGGTCCAGAGACATTGAAGAAAGAGAATGGATTACATGTAATCACTAGTTTAATATAACACATTATTTTACAGTGTAAAAATCAAAGTGATGATTGACACTGCTTTTGTGATACAAGTTTATCAGTGTTCACTGTAATTTCAGTAATGCAAAGTCTCAGGCTCGATTCCAGTGAAATATTTTCAGTGTGATTTCTCGTTTAGTTTGTTTGAGAGCAGAAAAAGCACTTTCACACACATATGTGCTGCCAAATAGTAATAACATTTGCAAAGAGAATTTATGGAGTCTGGGAAGATGTTTATTAGAAATCAGTTTCCAGAAATGTTCGTTGACATGACACTTTTTAGTCTGGTAGACTGGATCTGCCTGAAGATTATAAATTTCAATTTGAAGGTTGGCATTGCAAGACACCTACTTGTACTTCTGTCTCCATGAGGTTGTTTAACAATGAAGGTTTTGTTTTTAGGGAGTCAAAATCATGGAACTCATTAATACAGTCAAAAGTCGTTAATCCGGACTCGTCGGGACTTCGGCGATTCCGGATTATAGATCATCAGTTTAAATCTCGTAAGATGGCATGCAGAAATTCTAAAATTAAAAATATGAAACCATAATTTATGAAATAAAGAACAATTATGATCTAAAGGGTATCAAAATTTACAAAAAAAAAAAGCTTAATATTTATTTGTTTACTTTATGAAATATTTCTCTCAATGTAAGTTGTTTAAGTTGCTTCATTTTATGTGATAATACTTTTTCTTTAATTCTATAAAAAGACATAATTTCTTGTTCAGTTACAAAGTTCCGCTGTTCAAGTCCCGTTAATTGCTGTGCCGAGAATACCAACTAACTTGTCAATCGAAATTTTTTCGTTTTCACTAACCTCTCTGTCACATTCTGCATGTCTTTATCCATTTTTTGCAGCAATTCCACTTTTTGTTTGTTGAACATCGAAACATACTTTCGTTTTGTAGATCCTTTGGAAGTTCCAGCATCGGAAATTCTATTTGACATAATCGAAAGTTCAAGTTTACTTTTATAAAATCGCTCTTACTGCAAAAAATAATAAGCGGGATCCAATTCGAAGATTAAGGAACAACGCAATCATTAACATTAACTGAAATAGATAATTAGATAATTTTAGCTTACACCGTCCGTTATACATTAAACGCGCAGGCGAAAACGTATTCTGCACTTGCGCACACGCATATGCGCAGTAGTCAAGGTATTACGCGCACGCGTAAAACGCCAACGTGACGCATGCACAGAAAGTTTTTAGCTTTGAGGTCCGGATTATAGATCATTCCAGATTATGGGTGTCCGAATTAACGACTTTTGACTGTATCAGTAATTATTTCATGAAACATACTAAAATTTGTGTCATTTTCTTCTTTTAGCTACTGACAAAATGGGAAGTTGCTGTATTGCCTTCAGTGAAATTTACATTACATTAAGGTTTTTGCGAAAACCTTCAGTATATCCATAAAGCTGGTATATATTTTGTTTTCTGCCTTGTAGTTTCAAGTTTAAAGCATTTAGATGGGATGTTAAATCTATCAGAAAAGGAAGATCATTTAAAAACTGTTTTTTTTTTTTTTTTCCCCAATTTTTCTTGATACTCATGCCCAATGTTTTCTTTTGAAGCAATCAAGAATTTCATTCCTCAACCCAAAAAGCTGTTGCAATGTCCAGCACTTAGCCAGTGCACTTGACAGTACAAAGAAATGTCACCATACTCAGCATCCAAATTAGCAATAAGTGCTCTGTGTCTCTGTGCTTTGCCTCCCCTTATTAAATTTACAACATTTACAGCAGTTTTCATTGTCTCACTGAGCCTTATAATTTTTCTCCTTAGAGCCTCTGGTGGATAATGCAGTGGAAAAACAAACAATGTATTCCTTTTTCTTTACATAGTCCTACTAAACCAGTTCTATGAACAACCATTGCTTTAGATCCATCTGTTGCAATGCCAGAGCACTTCCTGAAACTTCCATATTTAGAAATGGCATTATCCAGGGCGTTGAATATATCAGTACCTTTGATGCTTGCTTCTAATTATTTTAATTCCAACAGGCCTTCATGAATTTCAAATTCTTCATTTATTGTTTTGACAAAGATAAGGAGCTGGCTGATGTCAGTATATTTCTGTTGCCTTCTAGACCTAGAGAGCAAAATTTGCATTTTCCCAAAATGCCCTTGAGAGTATCTGCTTCACTACCCATATCATTAATTCTTCTACTTACTGCTTGATGAGACAAGAACACTGTTTCAAAATTTCTAGCTATCTTTTATGTCCAAATGAAGATGTCATTTTTATAGCACATATTTTAATAAACTCAACATCTCTAAAAGACTCTTTACTTTCAACTAGTTCTAAGCATACCTCATAAGATGCCTTCAAGCCAGCATTATTTGACTTTTGCTGAAAGATAATCTTCTGTCTAGTTAGTTTCAGCTTCAAATCATAAAACAATGAACCTGGTACTGGTAGTATTTTGAATTATGGAAGTTGGTATAATGTCTACTCACATTAAACTCCTTTGAAACACTTAAGACTTGAGGACAGACAACACACTGTGATTTACCATTATGTTCAACAGAAAAGTAACTTTCCTCCCACTGAAATTGTCGTTTCTCATCTTCAACACCTCCACCATTTTAGGTAGTACTGAATGAAAGTGAAAGTGGAAGCATGTATGGCATGTAATATAACGATTCTGGAGTGAAGCTTATCATCAAAGTTACATGACTATTCTCTACTTTACCCGCAAGACTGCACTGGGATTCAGAAACCACCAACAACTCGATCTTGGCACACTGAATCGCGTGACATGTAACCCTGCATACTCTGAACTGACTCTTACAAAGATCCATCATTTAAGATTTAACAAACCTGGTTTGTTCCTCTTGGTAACAAATGGTTACTTCCTTTTTTGCCTCCATGCTGCCGTTTTCACGACTGTCACTACGCCACAATTCTAGCAAAGTCAAGTGACAATAAAGGCAGTATTAAATAAAAGCTGGTAAGATCGGTGCTTGCCCGATAAACCAGATATAATTCATTATTACTACTGCCTTATTATTGAGGTGGCCGAGTAGGAGAAATGAAGATTATAAGGTGCTGCCATCTTTAATAATGAAAGAAATTGTCATCTGATGGACAACTTTGCCAATGTCAGCAGTCTAAATCTGCTTTTTTGTATTCCCTGCAGGTTCGCCAGCTTGTTGGCATCCTAGCAACTGTTTTATACTACTTGTCTGTTCTGTTTATTATAATTTAAAGCAGTATGAAGAGTCTTTTGTTTTTCTAAATGTTTAACCTTTTTTTTTTAATGTGTAAGAAGGGCAAGTACCAACAAATTGAATAAAAGGGCCATGGGTTGGACCATACAAGGAAATTTAGTTTTTCACAACAAATTCATATGTGTGTTATTATATTCTGTATATGAAGAAGCAATCACTGTGTGAAGTAAGACCTGACAAGAAATCTAAATATTAATTAAAAAGTAGATATTCACATAATTCTTCCCACCCAAATGCAAATTCATTTAGGTGGGAAGTCTATCCTTACCCGAAATTATATTCTCCTTTCTTTAAAAATTGTACACAACTGCATTGAATACAACCCATTTTGGTTGCAGAATTATTTACTCCTCATTTCCCCGACATACATATTTTTCCCCTTATCACTTGTTAGTTCAGTATACCATTGTTCGAAAGCGTATGATAAATCTTCGAATAAAAGATTTCAGAAGATAGCCCATGTACACTTCAGGTTTCTTTGTAAAGAAAAGGGTTCATGTTATATGAAGAATATACTTTAAAATTTAAGGTTTGTAGTTTGAAATTATAGGTATGTCCCACAAACCTTTCTTCTGATTGTTTGGCTTGCATGTTAAATCAAACATCCTTGTTGCTGTTATAAAATATGTGTAGTTTGAAAGAAGCATAGTATTCAGATTTTCTTATTACACATTAAATCTTTAGCCATACCAGCTTTATTGCACATTTTGAATCCAGCAATATAAGTCGCTTGTTATTTTGTGCAGATGGGTTAAATAAATGCAGTAGTTCTCCAGTTATCCGAATCAATTGGGACGGGACCCCATTCAGATAACTAGATTTTTTCTGAAGAAAAAGTCTATGTACACTTAATTACTGTATGTTGAAAATGGAAGAAAAAACTATTTTTAAAGAAAAAAGAGGTTTTAATTAATTAAAATGAAAAGACAACACTTTTACATACATGTTATATAGCTTACTGCACAGCAGTGCTGAAAGTCATTGCTTGCTGAATATCTTGTTCAAAGTACACTGTTTGACTATCTTGTTTTGGGGCAGCCAATTTGTGCATCCCCTTGACAATAAGTTACATGTGGTCACACTTGGGCTGACACTCCATCCACTTTAAGGCCGGCAAACACTTCACTAGCTGATTGTCCCGTGTCTGCTTCAACTTCGACATTAAGGTTATCTTCTTCCTCGACACTTTCAATAATATCATCATCATTTAGAATTTGAAACCCAGGTTCTGATGAATCACACACCATCCATCCTGCTGTATCCTCAACACTAACTTCTGAACATTCAGGCCGTTTTCAAAGGAATGGTTCTTAATTCCTCAAGATGACACATCATCCTCTTCCCTTTCCTTCACTTGAACTTCTTTTTCCTTCTCTTATTCATTTGGTTCCAATAAATTGTGAAAGCAAGTCAGAGTTCAGATAATTGGAGTTGTAGTGGCCATTATTAAAATTCTAGCCCTTATAATAGTTTAATTTTAATCCTGACAGTTCAACTATCACCCCTTTAAAAACTGACATCAGATTGATTGAGAGTTCATTAATTTAAAGATGGAATCCACCAAATTAGCATTTAAAATAAAACTTACATACAAAGAGTGTGA